ACCAAATATCACAAATAAAAACACACAGAGAGAGAGAGAGAGAGAGAGAGAGAGAGAGAGAGAGAGAGAGAGACAGAGAGAGAGACAGAGAGAGAGACAGAGAGAGAGACAGAGAGAGAGACAGAGAGAGAGACAGAGAGACAGAGAGAGAGACAGAGAGAGAGATAGAGAGAGAGACAGAGACAGAGAGACAGAGAGACAGAGAGAGACAGAGACAGAGAGAGATGGAGACAGACAGACAGACAGAGAGAAAGAACCGTGGGCTAGGGTTCTATAAACAAGAGAATTTACTTCTCACACATCTGCAGAAAGCAAAACAGAATACCAGGGACTAAGTATTTGAGGTGTGCCTCAACCGACATGGAGCCTCTTCACCGAGCCTCTCCATGCTAGCAACTCCCTGGGCCTTTTTCAGGAGCCCTTTTCAGAGAAGCCCACCCTAATCACTTGCAAAGTGCTTCCCTTTCTGTACCATTGCCTTAAGATTTTAACATTTGAATCTGGGGCGTGTACAACCATTTTGGCCACAAGTTTTCCAAAATGACTATCTGGTCCCTCCAAAAAGTGTCCCTTCCTGCTGGAAACCTTTGAAATTCATTAATAGAGGCAACTGCTCAGGCTTGCTTTTTTTACTTATTTTAATATGCAAGTACCACTGGGAAAGGGAAAACTCTGACAAAACTCACAGGAAGATAAAAATACACTGAGTTCTTCACAATAGATTTCAGCAAAATAGTGGACAAATTTATAAAAATAAAAAGCAGCCTTTCATTTTTACAAATATAGAGTAACTAGGAGAATAAAAATATACAAATAAGAAAGGCTTTGAAAAAAGTTAAAAGACAGGTGAGAAAATAACTTGTCAGATGAAATTTAAAAAATGCGAAGAACTTGTGAGAACCTTTTCTTCAATTATACACTTTCAGCACGAAATATATAAATGTATATTTAAACATAGTATATAACTATCATAAATTGATAAAAACAGGAAACATACTAAGTCAAACAAATCCCTTAACAACTACCAGAGCAATTAAGGAAATATGTACATCTTCTTGGTAACACAGCAACTGTGTTTGCTTGCACTCTGTGAAGTTACTGAGGATGCTGAACTTTAAAATATTCGTGTTCCTAAGCAAACTCAGTGCTAGGTTCCTGTGACACTGTTGTCACAAAACTTTTCTTATCACCTCATCAATACATTGCTTTTGTTTTGTGTGTATTTCTATATAAAGATATTTTAATATATATTTTTTCAATTAATTACTACTGAATACAGTCAACAATGCTCTAACCCATTCCTGAATTAAGCTTACCTAACATGCATTCTCCCAATAATACACTTTATAGCTAGTAATGCAGAAGTCTCTATGTGTCTGCACACGACCCAATAAAATATGATGAGTATTGGTTTTTGGCTTACATGAATTTTTATGGACTGGGTAAATTTGCAAACAAAATCAAAATCATCCATACCTTGACTCTGAAGGTAGTGTACCACTTTAACACATAATATTAATGGGACAAGCTCAGCTTCCTTATCTAGAAGTTTCAGTTGATGATTGGGATCCTACTGAACCACTTTCCCAGAAAATCAGGCTACCTGCCTTCGACAGTAACCACTGGGCAAAGTGACAGTGAAAGGTAAGGCAAGGAGGGGCTCATTGGGGCTGACATTTTTGATCTCTAGTTTTCGAGGCTGGTTATTTTCCAACTAAGTCTTATTTTAGGGAAAACACAATCTTTGTACTTTTGAATTTCTTGGAATTTAGTATCTCTAATCTAAAATTAGCCAGCTAGCATACGAGGCAGTCCTTAATTTAAGTCTAATTCATGTATCTAGGCATGGTTCCCTCAGTGTGCAAATTTCCATGTCCTTCATAAGGAAAAGATAAGTTAATTTCCATCCATCCAACTTCACTTACTCACCACTCACCTCTGTCTACCCATCATTTTGGTTTTCACGTACTAATTATGCAACCACTGGTCCTGGCGACACAGACCAGCAGCATAGGAAATAGCCCTACCCTTTGGTGACTATATTTTAGTGAAAGACAGATGAACACGTGTAAACAAACAAACCTACAAAATATTCCAACACTCTACTTGGAAGCACAATACATTTAAAAATAATCATGGTTAAGAAAATATTTTAAATGGAGTTATCAGGCAAGTATATTTAAAGGAGAAGACAAGCAGAGATCTAATAAAGAGGGTAAAGAGTAAAAGCAAAGACAAAAAGGTACAGAAATTTCCATGTTAAACACTTTCACATGAGAGAAAGCAGGGCATTTGGGGGAACATAAAAAGATCAGGGGAGCTGATATCGAAGGAGTAAGAAGGAACCTAAGCCCAAATCACGAAGGGCCTTGGCCTCTGATCATGGAGTCTGGATTTTAATTTAGGTTTGATGGAAATTCATTGGGTGACTGCAAGTAATGTAGCAACGTAACTTACATCATCAAAGCAAAGCACTGTTTGGGCAGATGTATGAGGAACAGGAAATAAAGGGTAAGAGTTGGACCTGGGGTCCTGCCCAGGAATTCCAAGCAAAGAGAGATGGGAAGGATGGGACCTGGATACTGCTGCAAAGTCCTCGTGTACACTGAATAGTTTGATAAAAACAATGAAATCTGGTTTTTTTGCCTGACTTCGAAATTTAGGAGGAAAAAGAAGCGAATTAGGGATATTCATTGCATAAATCATGATACCAAGCCCTGAAACAAATTAAAAACTAGGTTTAGTGGGTAAGAAAAGACAGGGGTAAATTAAAACAAGACTGCAAAACAGCTAAGCAAGAAATTTTAAATTCCTTATTTTTAAAGATATATGGTACAAAAGCCTTCTCTGATGTAATTTCTATAATAAGAGAATTCCACAATACAGTGACACATACTGAAAGACAGTTAATCTCTCTATTCATGAAATAACACAAATGCTGGGAATATCACCACTGGCATGATAATTATGTAATGAACTAGTTTTAGTCTAAATTGCAGATATAATTCTTCTATCCAGTTTTATTTTACTGTTAACAATAGACTGGTCTACCTGACCAATGTTGTGGACTTAATTTTCCATTCAATAACAAAATTCAAACATCAGTCACGTAATCGCAAAACCAAGCCTTCTGAAAGCACAATGTCATGAGCAGAGCATTTGAAAAAGAAATGTGTAGGAACGTGCCCAGTGCACACAAGGAGGCAGAGACCAAAGTGGGAGAAATGAAGGACACAGGCTTGTCGGGGAGAGCGTGCGCTACCCTGCGTTTACGGGAAGGGCCTGGATTCCCCTTGCGTTCTTGCTGCGGAGCCAGAGACAGGGTCCGCATCACTGTGTTCAGTTTCAAGTACACACCCCGCTTGCAGAGACATCAGGCCTTTTACTGCCTTTGGCATGCCTTGACAGGAAAACAGACTGCTTTCTAATTAGTAGAGAGTATGGATTTCTAACCTACCAAACCAACATCCCTTATTTCATTGCTCCTTCCTGCTTCACTTTGGTCTCTTAATTTCTAGACCAAGTCTGAATTAAACCCACTCAAGAGTTCCTGAAAAGTTTCCCCATTGCTTGGCTTGTAATCCCTACCTTGGGTTCTCTTATCCCACACAAATGATGCATTAACCAGCGTGGGCTGAGCAGTTTTGGGCTCATATTTTGACCCAGCGTTCCGATTGGTCTTTGATCTGTTCTAGCCCTTTATCTAATAGCTCACTAATACTACTGACTTCCTCAACAAATCTTTTTGATGAATTTGAAAGCTCCTAAGAACATCTGAATCTCTATTTTTGATTTATGCTGTTATCTGTATATCAGCAAAACATGTTTTTTTTTTCCCCTAACAACAACAAAAAGTCTATCTTTTATCCTATTAGGAAAAAAATTTTTTTTCTCTTTAATGGACCCTCCAAGTAGTCTTGTGGAAAGAAAAACCAAACATTTGTCAGAAATGTTTTTTCTTTAAAAAGAAATTAAAAATTTCATTTCAGGACTTCAAACAACCTAATTCAAATAGCACTGCTAATGTAAACGCACTTTAATCTTCTTGAAATGTCGTCAACAAGAAGAAAGTAAGAAAAAAAAACCTACACTCTTGATGTTACGTTTTATAGGCAATTCTCTGCTTCTTTGCTGATTAAAAGGCTGATTCTCTGTTTCTGTGATGATTTAATGAGGATTCCCTTAAATGCCATTGTCACTTATGGAGAATATGCCCCATGAAGGTTGTCTAAAAGACTTTACCTCAAAAGCCTGAAAGGTCACCCCAACGTGGTAGCCCTCCGACACCGTTATTTTCCACACACATTCCTTCATCGGTCGATAGTCATCAGGATAATTAGGAGACTGAATCTGCCCTTCGTTTTTACGGATCTCACCTCCACAGATTGCTGAGAAAGCCAAAATAAACAAAATAAGCCTAGATATGCCATTTCTGTTCCATTTTCTCTCACGGTAAGTTCAGTTTCTGTAACTAATAACACGAGGATAGGGTTATAAAATACCACAGTTGGCTGCGTGTGCTGCTGTAAAGATTTTAGAGCCTCAGTCACTAGGCTACAAGTGCTGCGAAGTGGTCAGCCAAGGATTGTGTAAACTTTAATCACTCTGATGTTACATCTTAACAATCAATAAGAGGCTTTTTTTTAAAAAAAGCTTTTAGGGGTTTTATAAATTTATTCTATGTTAGTTCGTTGATGCCCTGAATTTCTTCCTACTGAAGAAACTGGAAAAACAGCTCATCAGCATAGAAACCTCACTAGAACAAAGAGGTCCTGGGCCTGAGGTCTGGGGCTGTGCTCACCAAACCCCAGCTACATTCACGTGATCTCCATGGCTATGCCATTCTTCTTCTTTATTTTAATAGTTTTATTGAGAAACAAATAGTAATGACACAGTTTCAAATCCGATTAGTAGGACAGTTTCAATAATTAATACATTGCATATTGCTCTCTCAGTGGTTATTCATTGTACAAGATGCAGACATGATATCCTACTACTACCCAAACACTACTAATATAAATCTTTCTATTCATTGAATTAAGAGAAAGTAGCTGTATATCTATCCTCACTATTTTGAATATACAGATACAAAATAACCAAATGGCTGTTCATATGTATCCCTTTTTCTTGTTTAGTTTTGTCAGAGAAGGGTATTCCATTGTCATTTAAATATTGTAGGTGCATGAGTTCAGCAAAATATCCCAATATATTATGGACTACTGGACTGTATTGGAGTTATTCTTTAAAGTGAAATGCTTCCATTCCTTTCAAGGCTTAAGGAAAGAAACCTTCCTTGTTGGAAACCAAACCTCCTGTACTAGGAAGGGTCTCCTCCACCCACAACCTGGCAAGAAGAGGGATGCTTTTAAAGCCAGGAAGCACAATGCCTAGTTTATTGTTTTAGAGCAATATGGAACAACGCACGAAATAAATTCTTGCTCAAATGCTGACTCTCCTATTTAGACAAAGCAGGATTCAGAAATGTGGACAATTGCTTTCTGTGCAGTTTCCCATAGCAGAGTATTTTAACAGTGCAAGGACCAAGTAAATACAAAATCAGTACAAAAGAAGTGCACGGCATTTTTCAGAACATTTGAATGGTATGATGAAGTACAGCTCGGACCTTTTGCCATTTATCCCCTATCTCTGAGCAGATTTAGTTGTTGTTATCATAGACAGAAAACAGGCTGATCTTGCAATTAATTTAAGTTACTCTTAAAATCATCATTTGAACATTAAAATGCACTTTTGCAATTTAAAAACATGGTTAAAATATCATTCTAATAAAACTGAGAGAACAGACCCTTCTGCCCAGAGATCTAAGAAAGATCAGTCTCTTAAATATAATGCAAACTTGCCTTCGTATACAGCGGCAAACCCTTTTCCTACCCAATTGCTGCTGCTACGAAACTCAATCCACATCCTGCTGTCAGTAGAGGTAAGAACTTCAGGAACTTTGTCCCCACAGAATCTACCTATAAGAAATAAAAGAATAGAGATTTCTAAATATAACTCTAGGCTCTATTTGCTTTCTATGCCAACTACAAATAACAAATATGAAAAAACATATTTGAGACATATTTCTATCGGTAGTAATCAGAGGAATAACTCTACCTTAATATCAAATTAGTAAAGGTAAACAAAACAATTTTTTCATCTCTGTTTACAAAGTATCAAGTATCATTAGCATTAATGGTTAGCCCATAGGGCTGGGGAGATAGCTCTGCAGCATAAGCATCTGCGTGGCAAGCACAAGGTCCTGAGTTCAATTCCCTGGTATGAAAAAAAAGAAGAAAAAGAAAAAAGAGTAAGACTATAAAAGATGTTTACACAACATCACATGATTCATTGAGGGAAGCAGACAGAAATAGGAATCATCAGTCACCCTGAGAGGTGACTCAAGTTCACCATCTGGTCATGAGTAGGGGAGTAGCTGTGTTAAGACTGTGTTTCCAAATTAGGTGTGCTGGCCCAAGCCTGCCATCGCAGCCCTCAGAAGCTGAGGCAGGAGGATGGCAAGTTTGAGTTCTGCCAGAGCCGCTGAGTGATGAGCAAGAACTTGACTCAAAAAGAATGGCTGAGGCCGTAGCTCAGTGTGGGAGGCCCTGGGTTCCATCCAAGTGCTAAACAAAATGTGTTTCCTGCTCCAAGAGGAATTCCTTCTCCAGCCAGGTTCTGTTATAACTACTCGGGAAAAACCTATATTTTCCTCCCAGGATGTTATAGTACTGCACATACTCCATCTCCTCCTAGCACGACAAGCATAGTACCCGACAGGATCAGAAAACTTGAGTCTAAGTTCTGATTCTTTTCTAATTGTGTGTCTGTGGGTATGTATAACAAAAAATGGAAATGATACAATAACATCTATCTTTCTTTCCTTCCTCACCTGTGCACAGAAATTGTTGGCTTATTGTATGTCTTTCTTGGGTTTGTAAGCTTTTGTACAATGACAAATGGATAAATACGACAAAGCATGTAAAATGATCCTATAAATAAATTATATGGTTACTTATTTCTGTGTGCTGTTGAAAGATGATATCAAACATAGTTGAAATATGTGAACATGGGAGCCAACTTGAATAATGGGAATACATATCCACAGCTAACAGATGAAAAAGCAACTGATTATTGAACAAAGTAAAGCAGAGGCAGAGAGCACCAAGCAGTGTATGTGAATCACCAAGAAATGTGTCGGCATTCACTTCTAATTCTGAGGAGTGGACACAGAGTGCTGCAATTCTAACATTTTCCGGTGAGTCTGAGGGCTACGTACATCAGAGATATAGTGCTGCACTGTTTTTCAAGTGAACACAGTATGGCACATGATACAAGAATGCTGAACATGTAAAACAGTTGGTTCTTTAGATGGAAGTGTTTCCCAACTTGATCTTCAGATTTGGTTTTCCAAATTCAGTTCAACGAAATGTTTTCTTTCAAATGCTGGCATATATATAACAATTGCTTCATTTGGGCTTAGAAACTAAATGTATAAGCCAACACTTTCCTCAAAAATTAAATGCAGAAAATAGTGTTTTCCTAACCTGACTTATCACATTAGCTCATTATTTTTCCTTGCTTTTAAATATTTCTCCAGACCCCTTGGACTTCCTAAAGCTGCTGTCACTTTTAGTACAATATTGTTCAATCAGCAGGTTTTAGACATTGAGACGAAAGATCTATCTAGCACATAAATACCACTGAGCAAAGCTATTTCTAAAAATAAAGGAAAAGTTACAATCACAAAGAAAAAATATGCCAATATAGAGGAGAGGTTAAAAGCTCACAACAGCTGTCCCACAATGTAAAGCAGAGGAAGAGAACAAAACAGAGGGCAAAGGTAAACCAGGATCTGGGGCTCAGTGTTGGCAGCAAACGTGCGTGAGCTCCAAGTCCAACCTACAATTGATGGTACAGACCACAAAGGCCTCATTTCTGCCATACACACACACACACACACACA